GGTTTTACCGCCTCCCTCCCTGTGCTAGGCGACTTCAATGCCCACCGATCGTAAAAAGCTTCTGGTGGTGGGAAGGAAAGTCAACCATCCTCAATGGTTATCTCGTGCGTCCTATCCACCCCAAGCGAATTCTTTGGTGAAAAATGGAAACTATATCAGAAATGTTGTTGTCTGCGTATCGGCCGTTTGAGAAAAACTGAAAAATTTGGTGCATATGCCCGCAGATAATATTTGATGCAGAACCTACGGTGTCCGTAAGTGGGATGTCACCTAGATTATCACCACTGGCAGTCAAGCCGTAAGTCACGAAACATGGGATGCATTTGGTCCCTGATACTATAAACATGCGCGCAGCTTAAGCTAGCACCAATGATACCAGGCACAGAAGGGGGCGGCCTAGCAGAAGAAGTTCACAAGGACGACACCAGCCAAGGCTGGTTGATCTCCCATCTGAGTTACATAAACTCAACAGATATATGACTAAATGCGTTATCAAAAATAGCTTGGTGGTATTTCAGACAACAATCAACTACTACTGCCGCGGTCACCCAATTATAAAATATCCCATCGTTGCCTGACCGTTGATGTTTTCGAACATCTCTTTGGTTGAAGGCTACGCCGGGGCCAATCAAGTCACTAACTAGCCATGGCAGGCTTGATGAAGGTATCATGAATTTACGCAAAAGAAACATTGAAATTCAAACCAAATCAAAGGCGACTTTGGTAAGGGAAAAATATTGCTCACCCATCGTAGTCAAGGAGGACTGAGAGAATGTGGTGCCCATAGATCCGGTCAAGCGATTGAAAAAAGCGCAACTGAATGTCGCTGATCTGCTCCTGGGGGGTATAGCCGTCAGTTACGGATCTTGCAACGGTTATCAGACAGGGATTGTGAAGACGGTTCAACAGGCTTTCCATACATTCCCTAAGTTCCTTCTGTTCTTCAAATGAAGAAACCTGCAATCGTGGAGAGGAAGAGAGAAAACGAACGGCACATGAAGTCCTGAAGTCAGATAAGTTTGGCGCAGGCAACAAAAAAACTTAAACAGGCGAACCTCGTGACTCGGACCAGCCAGAACGTGTTAGAGAATACTGACAACTTTCAGTAAGTAAGGAACATATTTCTTGTACTAATCTGATGTGGGGGATGATGAGTGATTAAAGGAATAAACAAGGCTTCACCAACCTCTTGATTCCCATTAACCTGAACAATCGGTGATGATCAAGGTTAATACTTGTCGATTTGGAGCGGCTCTGTCGAACGGATCGATAAATGTGAGTCGATCTTGAGAAAGAATCGTATTAACTGAGAAGCGTTAGACAAAGTGAAGCTCGAACGACAGAAATTGTGGGAGGAGGACCTGCTTGATAGCGTAGCTGCAAACTGCCCGGCAAATCTGCTGATTGGCAGTGGGAGAGACGTCAGCGACAGCGGAATGTGATATGGGGAATCTGAGGGATCAGCAGTCGCAGATCACGCTGCGTCATTATCCTTACGCGTCTTATAAACTGATCTAGCAGGCAAGCCGTCCACAGAAAGGTCACAAGCCATGGCATTATTGCGACATGGTGAGTTTTGCTCGAAATTCAATACGACTTCATTCGGCGTCCGGGCACAATTCTAGATACCTAGAAAGAATAGGCAGAAGTGGACAGGAACCATTTTTCTGCCACGTAACCAATGCTAAATGCGTCCCGGCTTCATCGAACTATTGGACGACCGGAAGGCCATGATCCGCGAAACTCGAATGGTTTTACGGAGAGTGCCTAATAAAGTAAGGGGGTATGAAATTTCTTGCGCTCAAATATCATCTGTAAGCATCAGACTGGAGGGATAGTAAGGAGAGGATAAGTCACATTAAAATTACTCACGAAATACTATGGTTGAGAAAAAAAATGAGCAACACTAGGTTAATAATCTCTGGTTTATTTGCCATCATCAGTCAGTCAGATCCAAATTCTAGATGGGCGCTTGAGACTTCAAACCTAACCACTTCATTATCCGTTTTAAGTTTAAACATCTACCACTCAAGCTGTGGATCTGGAGCTCCAGTGATGGCGAAACCGCTCATCTCTAGCTGGTACTCAAAACAGACCGACTGACGCAACTTTCATATCACTGCAAAACTCACAAGCAAAGTTACCTTAGTTGGATGCCATCAACGAATTAATTGTTGCATAATAATGCGAGCGGTTCACCAACAAATTAGTAGAGGGATTTTCCGGCAGGGTGCCGTTATAAGCAAAGTGGTTGTAAGTAGCTGGGTAAGGAGGAATAGCTTTAGTTAGGGTTAAGACTGGAAACGGACACAGAAATAGGTACCCCCATGGAAACCAGTGCAAGACTATCTGTAGCAGAGGTTTCCGTATAAATATATCTAAACGATTTCCTAACGGCATCCTTTTCACCCAAGCTGACAGCTTAATGGGCTGTAAGCCCAATGACCAAGTAATAGAAAGGATGAACATG